ATTTTGTATAAGTGATGTATGTATTTGTAAGTTATTGTTTTCCACGTATATGTAAATATTATTACTTTTAAAAAAAAAATTTAATTAATCGGTTAGATGGAGGAACAACGACCAGAAAAAACATGCAATAAGTTGTTAAACCTGACAGAAAAGAAAAACTAAAAAAGGTGTTTGAGACATCGTGACTCGAAGGAATAAACCTTCAATTAATTAGATCACTCTATAAGGTTTGAATTCTATTTACTAAGTGGCGGATTGCCATTATAGCCTCAAGGGGCTGCCCCTCCAGAGTTTTGAAAACCCTTTAAGATATATTATATATTGTAATAATTTCATATTTATTTATATTATATTAAATTAAATTAAAATAATTATTTATTAATTTTACTTTTTATCTTTAACTTAATTTTATATATTATAATTTACGAGAAATTAATTATATTATTATTTGTCTAAATATTATACCCACAATCATTATTCACCTTTCAAAGTAATAGACTAGTCAAAAATATTAGTCATACAAACTTAAAAAATAAGATTTAAACTTTGTAGTTTTCTTGACAAAATTTTAAATCTTCATCCAACGGCCGAAGTTCTATTGTTTTTCTTTTTAACTCACTGTATTTATCTTTTATATTTTTATGATTTTTTTTTTATAAATCCTCAAATGAATTATATCAAATGTTTGGGTTCTTCATTTTCTTTGAAATAGCTCGACACATATAGAATAAATATGGGTATGGAAGTCAAACAATCAAAATATTTTAAAAAAATTGAAAAAAAATGAGCATATTTATGTTGTACACATATCCGCATTTGATATTCACTTTTGAATTCGAGTAATGTAATGAACAAAATATATATAAGAAAGCTAGTTACCTTAATTTTCAAATATAGAAAAAGAACCACACAACTTTTTTTTTAGAAATATTTTCACTTAGTAATAACTAAAATATTTTCTCTTAAATCAAGAAAGTATATCACTTACAATTATGATAATACAATTAATTAGTTACAATTATTTTTAGTCAATAATCAATTATAATTTAGTATTATGTAAGGTCTATAAAAAATTATGTGAAGTTTATATTTTTAAGTGGTAAATTCTTATATAATTTTTTTGTTGTGATTGATTAATTATAAAATTATAGTAAAAAATTTATGGATGAAATGCTAATTACAAGAAAGAAATAATAGGTTTCAAATAAAATACTTGATTACTCAAATTTAAATATTAACCTTCACAATGAAACAGGACAACTAATATAAATGTATTTTCTTTTATGGGAATAAAAAAAAAAAAGAGATTCGGCTGCACATATATTTCAGGATTTAGCTTCTTATATTAAGTTTTCATTAATTTGTCTGCATTATTTTTGCACAAAACTCTTCAGTGCATTTAGTGTTATTAGTCACGTATATATGAATAAAGATACATTAAAAAGTAATAAATAAATATACAAAAATATCAATGAATAAATAAAAAATATAATAGAGGAACTGCAGTAAAACATATGTCAACAATTGATGGTGTGAGTTTTTTTTTCTTATTTCGATGGCGTGAAATTTTAAAACTTTTTTAACCTTACAAAAGTGAGATAATAAAATTTAATTCTTAAGGTGTAGCGCCTTTTCCACATCACCCTTCAACTTACAACAATTTTGATTAGTGATGGCAACGGATTGAGTCGGGACGGATTTTTTTTCATTTCGAATTCGACTCGATTTTAAATATATAATATTTGAACTCGTATTCGATTCGATATTGTATAAAATTAAATTCGATTTGATCCGATCCGAAATTAATAAAATATTATTTTAAATATAAATATAAAATTAAATATAATATATAAAATAATATAAAATTAAAAAAATAATTTTTTTATATATATCGGGTCGGGTATGGTCGGATTTACCTAAAACTCGACCTCAACCCGAATCCGAAAATTTTTTACCTACCGACCTTATTCGACCTGATATTTAATTCTTTTAAAAAAAATTGATCCTAAAAGATCAGATCGAATCGAAACCTATCGATTTCGGTGTTTTTACCTTCTCTAATCTTGATACTCTTTTTTTCCGTTGAAAAATCCCCGTCCGACTATATTAGAAATTTGCTCGATACCAATGGAATTTTACAAATAAAATTTTTTTGTAGGCTTATCAACGAATTACTTATAGAATATAATTATAAAAAAAATCTGATAATTACTGATAAAATATAAAAAAAAAAATCGACAAAATTTGCTGATAAAAATAATTTCTTTCATATTCCATAAGTAAATATTTGACGATATCGGAAATAATTGGTGCAGGAATCACTGATGAAATAATCCACAATAAATATGTTACTGACGGATTTAAAAATTTTTTATAACAAAATAAAATTGAAATAAATTAAAGCTGTAAAAAAATTTAATTAAATTTCGGAAAAAATAAAATTTGTTTACTGACTGACAGAATTTCCGTGGGCAGTCCGTTGGTAAATAGTATCAAAATGAAATCCCTAAATCCCTTTCTTATTTTCCTCCCAAAATCTCTAAACCTAAACCGCTTGCTCTCTCCTTGACCGCTGCCGCTCTCCCCTGGTTGACGTTATGCCGCGACTATTCCTGTTGCAAGAAGACAATCAGAGTTTCAGCGGGTTCCGTTGACCGTCATCCTTAATTCTCTTCCCGTTGTTGGCTCCTACAGCGGTTATATTCTTTCTCTTCTCTTCCCGTGTGTATCTGATGTTGTTTCAATTCGAAAAAATTTTCTTGCTCTTTCATGTGATTTTTGTTATCAACTAGATGCCAGTATTATTCATTGAATTGAGCCCAACAGTTGGCTAACCTTGCGTTTCAATTCTTAGCGGTGAAACCTAAGTTCAGACCAAAATATGTTGAGAAGTTTTCTGCCATCTTGTCTTTTCTTTGTTCCTATTTGAACTATGTAAGAGTATGATTTTTCTCCATGCTACATGTGTTATACCTGTGGTTAAGTGCTACTGTTTTTGTTTCTAGTTTTCCCTATATTTAAGGATCTTTTCTGTTCAATGAAAGCTATGCACTAGCAAATATGATATGGGGGGCATGTGTGCTAATTGAAACATTTTAATTCTATATTGAGATTTTCACTTTTCTACTAACGTACTTCCTTATTCCAATTTCTTGTGTTTTGAACTACAAGGTCACCCATTAAAATTTTAGGAAAAAAGGTTCCTTTGCTTTTTACTCTTTTATCAGAATTCTAAAATGGGACGTGGGGACCTAAACATGAGCATTTTTATGCATGCTTCTATTTCACAGTGCTCATCTTAGTTAACAATCAACTGATTTTAAACCCAATCCAGCTAACACCCCTCAAATCAAATAAGCTCTTTTTATATGAACCTGAGAATTAGCAAAGTTTTAAAATTTAGAAAACAGAGGTTACTAAGTGTACCCAAAAATGCAGTATTTGAAAATATGGTATAGTTTCTAAGTTTAACTAAATTTAAGATATTAAAACTACTTGAACTAATTAATATATTGATGCCATTTTTAGACATATAAACTTCATGAGGGAAAGCTTGCTCCTGACATCCTTGTTTGTATATTTATTTATACACGTGAAACAATGACTCTTTCTATTTGATTTCTTTTCTCAAATTCATATATTTAGGAAAACATGCATGCTTCTCATTCTTTTCTTTTTAATGAATATGTTTTTTTTATTCATTTTCATGATACTTTTATTATTTTCCATTCCATTGACTTTAAAAGTAGAACAACTCTATAGAAGTGACTTAGAGAAAATTTCTTGCAACACCTCGAACTACACTAAAAAGGTTAGTATCTGAGGTATTTTGCAGTCATTTATACCAAAAGTAAATTATTTTTGTGCTGGACGTTGGACTTGGTTATGAAGGTGTTAGTGTGAATATAAGTGATGCAAAATTGGAGAAAGCACGTGATGCAAGATTTCCATAATGGTTAAGACAATTTGTAAGTTTAGAGCATAATTCTATATATGAATAGAAATTATATTTTCATATAAATTTGAAGAATAATCAAATTTAATGTTTTACAGTTGGATAGGTTGAAGAGCAAAATGGCGAAATTGATTGTCGTCTAGTTAAGATAGCTTATGGCCCAGGATGATTGGTTAAGTGTTTCAAAAGTTACTTTGTGAATGGCTTTAAGTTTCATATAGCTAACTATGGCCAAGCTCGAAAGACGATGAATTATAGAGTATGTATGAATAGAAGTTGTTACAATTATTATAAGCTTGACTTTTATGGTATTTTAAAAGATATCATTGAGTTAGAGTACTTCGGAGTAGGAAATAAGGTTGTACTTTTTAAATGTCATTGGTTTGACAATGAGTAGGTTGTAGGTGTAGATCCTTATAATGGTCTTGTTGAAATTTTCAATACTTGCTAGCAATGAACCATTTGTCTTAGTTGAGCAAGTACATCAAGTTTCCTATGTAAGTTATCCATCTAGAAGAAGAGATTGAAATAATTGGTGGGCAGTGTTCAAAACAAAGGCCAGGAGTACATATCAACTCACTAATATGATTGAGATGAAGAAAAACAATTGATTAAAATGAAGATGTGTACCAAGAAATTGAAGTTTCTATTTCACAAAATGTTACTATCTTAGAAAAACTTAATAATCCTACTATTTTTGTTGTTGGTGATTATGAAGAGATAGATTTATTACAATCAATTCAAGAAAAAGAAGATGAAGAAAAAGAAAAAAAAATGATGATGATGATGATTGATGATGATGAAACACATGAGTTTGCATATTCTAGCAGTGATTGATGTATTTCGTGTGACTTTTAATGCTATATATAAAGCTTATTCGATTTGGTCAATATATGTAACGTTAAATATAGTTCTTACTTGATTTGGCCTATTTTAATTATAATATTTTATATGCTTATTTTTTTACTCAATTTATCTAATGTTCTAATACTAATGTAATATTATGTGTTTTTTTTTTTTTTGTGCTTTGGAATACATTACAAGAAAATGAAAAATTAGTGGCATTTTTTTAATGGCGTTTTACTTACAAATGCCACTAACTTCCGTATTTTATAAAGGTCACGGCATTTTAGATCAAAATGCCACAAAATTTTCGAATAGCGACGTTTGGATTGACAAACACCACTAAAGATAGGAATTAGTGGCATTTATTCACCAAAACACCGCAACATAAAATAAAAAATTTATTAAATATAAATATGATTATATGAACAACGAAATGCACCGTTCTTTAAATTTTTTTAGTGACTTTCTTTTATGATAAATGCCATTACATTGGAAAGATTTAGTGGCATTTTAATTAGTAAATGCTGATATATTGGATCCCAGACTGAAAAAAGTGCAGTGTTTAGGAAAGATTTAATGGTGTTTGAACTAAAAATGCTGCAGTTAGTTGGAAATTATTGGTGTTTTTAAAATAAAAGCTTCTAATTTTTCCCTAAATTGAAACCCAAATTTCCTTTTCTTCCAGAAATTATTGGTGTTTTTAAAATAAATGCCTCTAATTTTTCCCTAAATTGAAACCCAAATTTCCTTTTCTTCTCTGCGCATGATTTCCTTTTCTTTTCATTCCATTTCCAATTGGTTGTCTTTGTTTTCGATCTGATTCCTTTTCCTTTCCTAATTTGTTTTGAATCCTACCCTAAATTGAACCCTTGAGAGCTTTGTGGTTCATTTTCCATTGCCGTTTGTAAGCCCCCGTGGTTCCCGTTTGGCATTCATCTCCATTTTCCTTCCATCTAAAACATTGCTTTAAGGTTAGTTCATGTATTTTGTGCTTATTTTCAATTTTTTGTAATTTTTAATATTAATTTTTAAGGTTAATATTATTTTCAATCTCATGAGAAGTTGTGTTATCCAAGCGTGAAAGTATTTAGAAAACCTTTGTTTGTCTTTGTCTTTGTTCCCCTTCTGTCATTCATATCTTTGTCTAGTTTTCTGTTGTATGCTAAAACTGGTGGAGTTGGCTAAGGTTTGCAAGTTTGGTCTTTCAGTTCAAGCATTTATGGTAGATTGTTGAATTATGAACAGTTCTCTGTCTTAAATTATAAACAATTGTACAAAACCAGAAAGTGTAAAGTTCTCTGTCTAGTTTTCTATTGTAAGCTGAAACTGATGGACTTGGCACTAATTGTTGAATTATACACATTTTTACAGTAAATTATGCCCAAATGTAATAAAGGAGTTGAGTATAAAAAATGACAGCTGATGTAGTTCAGAGATCATTGGATGTTGCTGATTCTAGAACTTCTCATCTGGGGGCAGAGATAGAGTGTCAAATTGATGAAAGAAAGAAAATTGAAGCTAAGCTGGAAGAGGCGTCTAGAGAACCAGATAGGAAGATGTATGGTATTTGCTCTTCTTTTGAATCATCTGATGTTTTCATCTTATAGTTATTCTTTTAGTGAAAATCTGCTTAAAATACATTTAGATTTCAGGAAGAAAGGAAATACTTGCAGAATTTAAAAGCTTGCTTTCTTCATTACCCTAAGAAATGAGTTTGATGCAGAGTCAAATAAGTACAAAGAGGTTGCAATGGATATTCATTCTATCCAGGCTGATGTGCAATCTCTTTCCAGTATTCTGGATAGGAAGGTTAGTACTTTATAAGTTGACTGGTTATTTCTGGTTTTGCTGTAAGGGCGTAGAGATCTTTTTTTTTCTGTATGGACTTGCAAAGAATTTGTAAATAATAATTTATGATCAAGGGAAAGAGTGAAAATTTATCTGTCAGATCTACTGACCATGTTGCTGAGATGCATAAGGTGCAAGCCATGGTATGATTGGTTAATATTACTCTGTTATTTTTATTAAATATGTCTTTAAGAAACCTGTGATAGGAAATTAATGCTTGTTCAAATTAAAGGGAAAGATGCCTACTTTTACCAGTAAAATCTGCTATTGTCAATCTTTATGCCTTTTTTTCCAGAAAAAGGGAAAATCTATTAGTCTACATGTTTTTTTAATTACAGGTCCAGGATTTGAAGGGCAGTGATTAAGGGTTGAAGTTGATATTGGAGATCTATAGACATGAAATTTACTGATTCAAGGTTAGGTTATCTATCCAAGATGCTTTCTTTTATTTTCTTCTGCAGTGAATTCACATCTAATTTGATACATTGAAGTTGACTTTATTTCCCATAGAATATGTTGGATACCTAAGCAATGTATTGGAAATCTCTCTCACAAAATTTCTCTCCTTTACTGCTGTTTGGAGTGAGGACGAATATCTGTCTCTTCTGCACTGTAACTTTACGTTTTCTGGAAAGTATTGTCGCCTAAGGTGCAAGAGAATGTTGGTATCTTATGTTATACTGGTTACTATATGCTGACTTAAGAACATTCTTCCAAGTTTTGGAGGAATGTCTATTCCAGATGTAAGCTTAGGAAGTAGGTTTTGATTTATTAGTGAGAATTTTCAGTTTATACAATTGAGATTTCAGACAATTTATTGAGTATTGTCATTCTGGGTTATTGTTCCACATCAGTTGAGGTTCTGATCTTGCAATCCTTGATATGGTTAAATTCTTGATGTGTAGTTCTAGATTATTAAGAATTTTTTTTTTTTGGTTTTGTGATTGCAGAGATGTTTTGGAAGCGACAGATTCAGAATACATGACAAGGCATGGGCTCATGTTCAAAGTTTTAAATCTTGTCTTGATAAGCTAAATTTGGAATTATGTGTTAAGACAGTTAATGAAGCTGAAGTGATATCCTAGGAAAGGTTGGTGCTGCAGAGGCTGAAGTTGTTGAATTGCAACAGAAACTAGAAGCTTATAAGGGGTTAAACTTGGTTTTTTCTTTTGAGTTTTTCTTTTATGTTTGGAGAGTGGACATTGTCTAGACCTTTCCAGCAAACCTGCAATTGTCATTTCTGCATTAGGCAAACGTTTATTTAATGTGCCTAGACAATTCCATCATACGGTATTCTGTTGAAATTCACATTAGCTAAGCTGTAAATGTACTAGAAATAGTATATTAGGTATTAGTGTAATTGCTTCCTTCATTTATCTTCTCAGCTTGCATTTATTTATCAAACCATGGGCTTATGAGAAACATGTGAAAAAAATCACATACGAAAATATGAAATTCAGACTCATGTGACAAAGTATTATTGCAGGCTTTCTGATACTTTGAAATCCAAAAATATAAAAAATGAGGCTTTTTAGGCTGGCTTGATCTGCAAGCAGTAAGGAAAAAATGTAGGAATTTAGTTTCAAAAGTTAATGTGTTTGTCCAAAGATCATAGAAGAGTATAGGTTGAAAAGGCTTGATGGGGGTTTGAAAGATGATAGTAACAAATAAGGGATCATCTTTCATTGGTGTTGAAGATGATCCAATAGATATATCACCTATCATTGATTCTATTGGAAATTGAATCAAATGTTAGAGCTTTTTCCATAACATTCCATTAAAATTGTCATATAAAACAAAAACATTTCATAACTATCACTACAGGAAGTCGGTCTTTAGGTATGTTTTTTTCTTTTTTTTTTCATGTTTAATAGTGTTTATAAACGTAGTTAAAATATTTGTGGCTAAGAGTAATTTTTTTTTTTTTTATGTTTTGCCAAAAGCATTGTTAGAAATTTTGGCTATACTTGAAGAATATAGTGATGTTTTCAAGGTGTTTTTTTTTTAAAAAAAAATGCTATTAAACATCATTAAATTTAGTAGTGTTTTTACCCCAAAATTTCATTAAAACATTGTTATATTCTCCAATGCAAGTATAGTCGATACTCTTAGTAGCATTTTTGGCAAATGATACGAATCTTTTAGCTACATTTATAAATATCGTTAAACATGAAAAAAAAATGTTGCTAAAGATCTATTCCTCATAATAATACCTATGGAATGATTTTATTTTATATGACAGTTAAAATGGGATGTCATGGAAAGAGCACTAACATTTGAGGAGGATATTCAGTAGAATCGATGATAGGTGATACGCTTATCAAATCATCTTCAACAACAATGATAGATGGTTTATCTATTAGTTCATCTTCAACACCAATGATAGATGATTCACTTACAAAACCTCAAGTTAATCCATCACCCATTGATGAATCACTTATTGGACAGTCGAAAATGTTAGTTTTAATGAAGAAAGGATGACAACAAGGTAGAGGACTAGGAGGCAAATAGAGGTTTACCAATGCATATAGATCTAGACAAGCGTGGACTACTCTCTTAAGAGATAGCCAGAGCTATACTTTTTACTATTAATTTTTTTCTTATTGCTATTTGGTTTTTAAACAATTTGTGCAGTTTAACTAATCTTACTAACAAATGGATTTTGATAGTTGTTTTGAAAAATTATTAGTTGCTCAACAATTCCAAGCATAATTCAAAGGGATTTTATTGGTCGTTGGCTGAAATAACGTAAAGTTCTTATGTCAATGAAGAATTTAATGTTGAGAATTTTAAGGTAGTAATTGGACATTTATTTTATTTAAATGAAAAGTTTATATTCATGCCAATGACTTTTGTATTCCTATCTATTAGCTTTTTAGGTGAGATGATGATCTAAGAAAAGTGTTAATTGGATTTCTCCAACTATTTTTCAAATAATGATTTCAAAACAATTGAATCAAGATATAAAATAATAAGCTCCTTAATGAAAAAGATGATGCAAATAATAATAATTAATAAGCCTAGAAACAAATATAAACAACAATAAATGTAAATAGTGTAGGGATAGAAAAATCAAATACAAAAATTTATAGAAGTTTGGTCCTTCTCCTCAAGACACTTACGTCTTCTCTCTTTGTTGTCTTTACCAAGGCTTAAATCCACTAATTGAAGAAATATTATAACTCTATCTTTTTCTTAAGGCTTAGAAAGTAACCTAATACTCTACTTTTTAGATTAAGTAGCAACTTTTTAATCTCAAAAATAAAAGAGGATACCTCACCTCTTAATTACAAAATCACTCAATTAAAATGCAAGCTAGAACATCTTTCAAAGACTAAGTGTTTACCCAATGAAGTACAAGGATATTGATGAATTAATACAACAAAGATAGCTTGGATATAACAAATATGAAATTTTAGCTCTAAAACTCTTTATTTCTTTGATAGAATGAAAATATGACTTGTTGATGCTTGCTTTCTTATTTCTTCAACCTTCTTGGTGTATTGAAATGGCCAATTTATAGAGAAATTGAGGAACTAGCTGTTGGAGAAGCTTGGGAAATGAAAACACATGATTTTCTCCTTTGAAACTAGCCATTTGAGCTTGTTTGGGACGAAGGGATCGATGGGTTTTGATAAGGGATCGATTGGTTCTTGAATTTCACTCAATTTTTAATCATTACAGTTGAGGGGATCAATTGGTTTTGGTACCCGATCAATTGGGTCAGCCAGATTTTGTATACTGAGTGATTTTTTATGAACAGTGTTGCTAGTTGTTTCTTGTTTGTACTCTACTCACTAATTTGATCATATTTTGAGTTATACAACTCCAAATCAAAAACCGTTTGAAGATTTAGAAACTAGACTTAAAGAGCTTTCTATCCATCTAAATTCATCATCTAATTCATTTTATTTGAATTACAGTGAATTTTCAAAACTATCACTTGTGCAATTTTTTAACAATTGCATAATGTCTAATAAAAATTCAAAATTTTTTCTTAAAAAACTTAGATTTTTATTTTGTTTGATCCATTAGAAAGTATACTTAAAGAGCTTTTCAATCATATAAAATTTAAATATTAAAACTTTGTGAATTAATACAAAAAAATAAAACAAGTTCAATGTTGGAAAACTTTGTTCTTGTAAAACAACTTTATTAAGTTAATCTATTTCTCAAAACCAATATTATCAAAATTATATTGAGTTCAAAACAAATAAGTTCACTTTAAAAACAACAATTAGATTTTTATTTAAGCTCAAATAAATAATGTCTAAAGATAGTTTTGATTTGAGAAATAAAAAAACATAAAGAAAGATTTGTTTAAATTTTAAAAATCATATTATTTATTTAATACCAAAATAATAAAACTTAAGAACATGTATTAAATAAATCTTTTTCAAAATCTTGATCAAATTTATTTAGCTTAATGTTTTGTCATTTTAAAATAAGGATCAATTCAAGGCTAACAGTCTCTCCATTTTTTAGATGACAAAACTTAAAAATAAATTTACTTGAAAAAAAAACTTTCTTTAAGACATTTAATGTTTTTGAAAAACATTTTGAAAAACTTCCTTTAAACTTTGTATGACAAAACTCTCCCTCAATTAATACATCATAATCCAACACAACTTAACAAATATATGTTAATCAAATTTATCAAATAAGCATAATCAAACATATACATATCAAGTACAAGCAGTTTTGTCTAAATGATATTTCTCTCTCTTTTATCACAGCAAAAATATATGAACATATTAATGAGCAAATAAACAAAAAGACGTATCATAAATAAATATTTCATGAAATATTTCTCTCTCTTGTTATTTACGCTCTTTATACTAAATGTTAAAGTATCTATACCAATTGCTATAAGTATACAAGAAGAAATATCTATAAACTCTTTCTTTTCTTGTCATAGCAAAACAAAGAGATCAATTCAAGGCATAGGACAAAATGTTTGATACCAATAATATCAAGAGTATTTTGAATGCATATAATCAAGGATAATATGCACAATGATGTTCACATACATGTATTCAAGCATAAAAATATAAGTATATCTCATTTAAACGTTATAGCACAAAATCATTCATTCAACCTAGCCACATAAAATTTACGAGCAAAAGGATAATAAATAATATGCTACTTACTCATAAATCACGTTATCATAAGATTTGCTTAGTATTTAAAATATCAATAACAATTAATCATAAATTCAAACGCATGCATACAAGCTCATACCAATTATTAAAGATATGTTGACACAAAACATACCAATTGTTCTTACAAAACAAATTAAGCAAAATTATATTATAAGATTTCTTTTTTTTTTTTTCAAAATAAGGATTAATCAATTTAAGGCACATATAATTTTCATGAAAGGTACAAGCTATATCAAGGATAGACACATAAATAAGTATCCATGAAAATTCAAAAATTCTTTAGCAATTTTGATACAAATTGTTAACAATTGTTAGCTATTTTGTTTACAAACTTTCAAGGATCACAACATGTTTCACGTATATGCAAAGTTCAATCAATACATGCATAATAGCATTATTTCATAAGCATATCCTATCAAAAATAAATATTAAATCATCATGTTATTGCAAATAATTATTCAAGCATGATTTCTCTAACATGATAAACACATATACTATATCAAAAAAATAAAGAAAGCATAATCAATCAAATATAATCCAAATTATTTCAATACATAATAATGAACTTAATCTAAACATATGCAAGCATCTAAATATATATTTCAATCAAAATTATACAAGTATATGTAAAAATATTTCAAATCATATATAGTAATAGACCAATAAAAATACCAATATTTAGATATAAGTGGTATATGCTATTTCAATAATCTTAATCAATAAACATGTTCAAAGAAAATCAATCAATTTAACTTATATCCATGTTCAAAGATTCATGCATTTACCAAATATTCATGCATTGACCAAATATTCATGCATTAAAACTATCAATTTCATCGAAGCAATTAAGAATTAGGCCTGAATATTAATCAAAGTGAATTAATCAATTTAAGCTTTTAATAATATTAAAACATATTTTATCAAGTAGCTTGGTAACTATATTCATATATTCAAATACAAAATCATATATTTGCACATATCAAAGCAAGTATATATATATATATATATATATATTCAAACTTATACATTATAGGCATAAAGTCAATATATTTACCTCTATCCTTTTTAAGCTTTGTTGTTGTGCTCATTTGGCTTTGAATTCTCCAATCCACTTCATTTGAGTAAAACTAGGCTTAATTGATGAGGATGACATGATTTGCTTGTTATACCTGAAATTTAAAAAATGTAAGCTTATTCATGCTCATTTCAAGTTCTCTTAGAATAGACTTAGAAAATATTCTTGACAAAAAAATGTTTATTAATAACATGAAGAATATCAATTGATAAAAATTATACCAATTGTTAGAAAATGAATTTCATATTCTAAGTCATAACAAGAAAAAGAAAATTTTATTATTAAACACAATTGCCAAAAGAAAATATATATACTTAAGCTAAAAGCTGTATATAAAAAATATCATATATTACAAGAATGGCATAAAAGCTAAAATTCTCATATAATGTGCAAAAGTCAATTTGTGAAAATAATGAACACAAAGAAGACATATTCAGCATTCAAAATTATTTAAAAAATCACAAAAAAAAAAATCAAAGGCTATATAAAAATTGAAAAGCTTAAGGAAGATATATTTATCATTTAAATATATTCAAAAAAATTTTATCACAGAAGCACAAATATGTTTACACAAATTACAGGCGATAATGGACAATGACTTAAGATAAAAGTAAGCATCAGAAAAAAATCATTCACTTAATTCTTGTTCTAATCATATGAACTATAGGCATAAAAATTCAAATATCAAGTCTAGTTAAATCATATTTAGCATACACTTGACAAGCACAATAGATG